CACCTCCTAAATTTTGATCGCGGTCAAACACCTCGCTCATTTCAACCACTAACCATGCCTCCAAAAGCGCGTCAAAATCCAAGAGATTTAATCGAAAAGGAAGGAAGAGTCCTACTAGCAGTCTCTGCTGTAAAAAATTCAGAAATTTGCAGTATTCGTGAAGCAGCTCGTGTTTATAATGTTGCTGAGAGAACTATCCGCAGGCGACTTCATGGTATTACTACACGTGCAGAAATACGCGCCAATAATCATAAAATGACTCAAAATGAAGAGGAATCGCTCGTACAATGGATTCTATCGCTAGATCGACGTGGAGCGCCTCCCCGACCCTCTCATATACGAGAAATGGCCAATATTCTACTCGCTCAGCGTGGTACTACACCAATCCAATCAGTCGGGGAGAAATGGGTATACAACTTTATTAAACGACAAGATCGCTTGAAAACTCGCTATACTCAACGTTATGATTATCGGCGCGCTAAATGCGAAGACCCTAAAGTTATTAGGGAGTGGTTTGATCGCGTACAAATCACTATAATGCAACACGGGATCGCACAAGAAGATATCTATAATTTTGACGAAACTGGCTTCGCTATGGGCCTAGTAGCTACTGCTCAAGTAGTTACTAGAGCTGATTACTACGGAAAGGCCTCTCTTGTACAACCAGGCAATCGAGAATGGGTTACTTCAATCGAGTGTATTAACTCTACTGGTTGGGCGCTTCCTCCATGTGTGATCTTTAAAGGAAAGGTCCATATAGAGGGTTGGTATCAAGATATCAAACTCCCACGCGATAGCAGGATTGAGGTTAGTCCTAATGGATGGACTACGGACGAGATAGGCCTTCGCTGGCTTCAAAACCTCTTTATTCCTGCTACTACTAGTCATACAACTGGGGGATATCGTCTTCTAATTCTCGACGGCCATAGCAGCCATCTTACACCTCAATTCGACCAGATATGCAGTGAGAATAATATTATTCCTATCTGCATGCCTGCACATTCATCACATCTACTACAGCCTCTAGATGTTGGCTGCTTCTCGCCTTTAAAGCGGGCGTACGGCAGCTTAGTAGAGAAGCAGGCACGCTTAGGAATCAACCATATCGACAAGCTTGATTTCCTAGAGGCCTTTCCACAAGCTCGCAAACGCGCTTTTCAAACAGATACTATTCAGAATAGCTTCGCAGGTGCTGGCCTAGTTCCATTCAATCCAGACAGGGTACTCAGTCAGCTGAATATTCAGCTAAAGACCCCTACGCTACCAGGCAGTCGATCAACCAATACAGCTCCAAAAACGCCTTATACAACTAGGCAGCTTGAAAAGCAGGCATCTACTGTGAAGCAGCTACTTAGAGCGCGTACGCAGAGTCCTTCATCTTCGCTAGAGGCGCGGTTTGATAAGCTTATTAAAGGTCATGAATTACATCTTAATGAGCTTATTCTTGCACGTGAAGAAATCCACGAATTACGCGCTTCTAATGCAAAGAAGCTTCGAAAAAGGAAACGCTCTACTAGGCAGCTAGCTCTTACAGAGGGACCAGCTATTCAGGAAGGCCTAGAGCAGTTCCAGCGTGAGAACGAGGTTAATGAAGCTCAAAATACGCTTCCCCTAGATCCTGCACTTCCTGCAGATAGGCCACGCGTACGAGCGCCCCCGCGCTGCAGCGATTGTCATATTCTAGGACATAGGCGATTACAATGTCCTAATCGAGTTCCTAATTAATTTTTAGATAGAAATGCAATTATTTTGTTGATAATGGCCCTAGAATTTCACCTATATATAAAAATCGGGTAGAGATGCGGCGCTCGCTTACCGGATACGTTACAGAACTACGCATTAAGTCACAAAGCAGACAGTATACAAAGTCAGCTGCCTGACAATCAATAAAACATCCAAGAAAGTAATCTAACGAGTGAAATCAACGCTCATCGTAAAGGGTATTGCAACAATCATAACCCTGCGTTAATCCGTCGGCCTGCTCAGACGCTCGGCCAAAATCAACCATAGATCGCGCATGTCGTGTCCATATTTACAATAGCATTGGAAGAGAAGCGAAAGCCGTAATCGAACGGCTTAGATAAAGAATAGGCAATCAATCGCGCTTGTCGTCCTTGTCAATCGGCGAATAGCTATCCTTGCGGTCCGGGGACGGCGAAAGACTCCGCTCCCACTCCGCCATCAGGTTCGAGGCCGTTCGGGTCAGCTTTGACGGCGTCAGCTTGGTGATGGCAGGCCAGGGGATGCCGTCAGAAACGCTGGGATCAGGAACAGTATTTTCGTGAAGGGCGCGCCAGTCGCCAAAGCTAGTCCTAGTCAGCGTATAACTGTAGAAGAACGGCGGGGACATACGGCATCTACCACACCTACCTGGTACTTGTGCGTGGGCTGCTGCTCTGCGTCATCGGCGACTGGTCCTGCTTCGACTCCAACGTGGAGCGGCTCGACGACGGCGTATGTGTCTTCTTCGGCGAGTCCCAGTCCCAGTTGTCTTCAACATCGGGGAGGTGGGAGTCGCCCTGTTCGGTCTGCCCGCTTGGGGTACTGGAGGCTCCGCGAGCGCTCCGGGACTTCTGCCCAGGTGTATCAATGCCGAATTCACTCCAGAACGACGCGTCTATGTCCGCCGATTTGGAGTCTTTACCAGAAAGTTTCGCCCCCGCCCGGGACGACCTGCCCCCTTGCACGGACAACCGGTCTCTGCGGCGCGACGTCGAGCTGGAATCCCGCTTGCGTATGGGCGGTACCGCCCGGGATTCGGTCGCGTTGATGCCCTCTTCTCCCACGGTTGCTTGTCGGATATCCTCCAGGAACGTCCAGAGCCCTTCTCGCAAGTCCGATGCCATCTGCTTGCCGGTGCGCACCAGCGCGTCTCGAGACGGCGGCGGCATGGTGTTCCGCCACTGCGAGATCATATCATCGGTGGGCTTCGCGCTACTCCCGGAGATCGCGCTGCGCTCGACGGACGACGGCAAGGTGGCTGACCGGGGAGACCGGCCAATGCGAACATTCGCAGGGCCTGCCTCCAACTCCAGTCCGGCCTTGCTGTCCCCTGAAACCGACGCCGGCGAGAGCAGAGACAAGGTCCGAGTATGCGACCCGCGGAAGACCCGCCGTCCATTTGCAGAGACGGTAGTCCCCTGGGTGGCCGCCGTGCGCAGACTGTGGCGGCGCTCCAGCTCACGGCTGAGTCGTGCGTGCGCTACCGAGGGACTCGCAGAGCCACTCAGACTGGGCTCTCGGCGATGGGAGCGCTCTGGGGTTTGCTCGGGCGATCGGAGAGGGATCAAAGGCTCCGCCCGATAACTAATCTCCGTCCGTTTCTTTGTCTTTTCCGTCGAGGCCCACTGCTTCTTCAAAGAGTCCAGCTCTGTCTCCGCCCGATGAAGCTCCTCCCGCAGTTCCAGCACCCTTCTTTCCTGTGAAGCGATCGCAGTCAACAGACCCGAGCCATCGTCCTTTTCGTCAAAAGCCAGCGGGGCCCCGAGTTGGGGGATCGGCGAGGGGAAGGCAGAGGAGCGAGTCACGGGCGTCATGGATCCGGGGGAGGCCACGCCGGAATCGAAGGCAGCGGCCGGCGGGATGTTGATCGGGAAATTTAGGGTCAGTCGTTTGGCGTGACGAGCGGCACCATGTGGACGAGGTGGAAGAGAAGCCCGCTTAAGCTGGATGGACTGCTCAGGATCGGTCGGGGGCGATGGGCGGGCATGGATGAGGTGGTCGGGCGACGACAGCTGCATTCCCGCCCTGCCCGTTTCCGGGGAATCCCCCATGACGGACCAGCGTGCTGAGGATGAGGATGAGACGGTTCAGACGGGGTGCAATTGGGGTTACAGCTGAAGCGACAGAATCATGACATCCCACGGGAACCGACCGAAGGTAGGGGGTGGAGCGAGAAGAGAGAAAGAGGACCGAATCCAGACCCACGAAAGACCCAAGGGGGGAAATTGCCGATAAGAAAAGAATGTATGGATCCTGAAGCCAGATACACCCGGCAGAAAAGGAGAAGAAATCGAGGGAGAAGGAAAAAGGCAGGAAAGAAACGAGCGACGGCGAGCAATAAGAAGAAACGGTCTGGCCAAGGGAGCGCATGGCCCAACGGGTCTTAGTGAAGGTCACTAAGAAGAAGCTCTCCAGTGAAGGAGGTTTCGATGCCACCGCCGGCGGGTCGCAACGCGCATCCCTTCCGCCTCGAGCCCTCGTTTCACCCGGCCTCAGGGGCCAGCGCCACATCTCATTCCACTTCTCGCTTCTCAGATAAGGATGGGCGTTGCAGACCAGCCGACCTCTTCGGTCTTCACATGTTGGCACTCTGCACAATGCGGGGGACAGCCAATGTGGCATGCCGCCCTCCGCAGGGAAGCAGTAAGGGGTCATGGCATCTCATTATCAACCACAGATGAGGATCATCCTTCATGTGGTTGACAGCCCCCGTGAGACAATTTACCTGCAACTCTCCTGCACACGAGGCGGTCCCACGGCTAATTACCTGGTCCCCTGCCTCGTATCGTCTGCTGGTGACGGCTCCTATTTTATCCTTGTATCGCCCGACCCGTCTGTTGGGGGTTTAGATGCCGCAGGGCTTGTATTGCTTGCGGGACTCGTACACGCACGTCGCCAATCGCCTTCCTTACACCAACACCAGCTATAGTTCACACAGTTGCATACACAGTCCAAAAGAGTCCTCCCAACCAAAAGAAACAAGAAGAAAAAGGGAACAAAAAAGAAACCAAAGTCAAAAGGCATCTATCAGAAGAGAATTTAATACACAAGGTCGCCGAAGTATGATCACCAGAAATAAAGTCGCACAGATACAGAACTCCAGAATCGCCCTGTCCCGGATGAGAAAATATGAATTGAGCAAGACCGATGAGAGGCAATGCTGCGACACCGACTCTGGTGTCTTGGTGCTCATGCACCAGCAGCAGACCTCACGACAAATTAGGACCCGGAGGGGCCGGAAAATCCAGATCAAGCGAGGGGGAATTATGCAAGAAGAGAAAAGTCGGTGCAGAATACAACAAGGCCATTTACCAAACATGTCAACGCCCCGGAACCATTTTGTACAGGGAAAAGAAGAGAGCCGCAAGGGCCCGGAGAATCCGATCCGATTAGATGCCAGGCCAGCGATTGCGGAGGCCTTCGGACCATCGCTGGTAGAGCACATCGGACAGCTGCTTGGTGTGCTCCATGCCCGGCACTTGCTGGCCCGGGAGATTGGCCAGCTGGGCGGGCTGCAGGTTGTTGGGTTCGGCCACAGCCGCGCTCTGGCGGCGGCGGTGGCTTTTCAGGTGTGGGTTGTTCTGCGCCAGAACCAGTCGCGGCCTCTGTGGGGAGTCGGCCGGTGGAGCGGGTGGGACGAGGCCGGCCAGCTTGGGGTCGCTAGAGTAACCGCCGCTTCATCAGCATCGCTGCCATTCGCTCGGGGATCCGTCCTCACTTACCCTTGCAGCCTCTCCGTCATCGACTTTACGATGTGGTATAGTCCCTCCGGGTCGATCATTTCCAGATCGCTCCACGCCTCCGCCAGTCGGGAAATCGCCTCGCGCTTCTCGTCGTCCCCCGTCGTGCCCAACACCTCCTGACAGGCAAGCCCGACCGCCTTGCTGTATGCGCGACGGCCCAGTTGCGCTTCCTTGCTGTTCGGCTCCGAAAACAAGGTCTTGGGACTGGAATTCTCGTCCATTCCAAAAGAGTATGGCGAAGGGTAGGAAGCGTCGCCGGGGAGCTTATCCGACACCCGGCGGAACTGACGGACGGTCGATGGGCTGTTCCCAAAGCTCATGTCCACCCCAAGCGGTTGCTTCACGCCGCTGGACCGTCGCTTGGCACGTCGCAACGATGGACTGTGTTCGGGGGCCGGTGTCCGTCTCACGGCGGTGTTGACGGCATGCTTGGGTGGCATCGGTGGGCTGGACACGTGTAGGTCGTCCATCATCTCGGAAGTCTCGTCGAACACCCAGTCCTCGGCTTCCGGCTCATTCTCTAAATCGTCCTGTTCTTCGCGGATAGCCATCGTAGGGGCTTTGACCGTATCAAAGACCCATCCGTCATCGTCGTCCAGGTTCCGGATCGTATTTCTGCAGCAAAAACAGTTAGTGAATGTGACATGTTCGGGTTCCGGACCACATACAGAGACTCCGCATAATACTTTATCTTGCGTGTGACGCCCCGACCGGCATTCCAGTCCTGCTTCCGATGGATCAATTCCTGCAACGCCTCCGTTTTGCCCGCATTGCGGATGAACTTGTGCCTCAAAAGGTCCTTGGCGCTAGGTCTTCGCTCCGGGTCCTTGGTCAAACACTGTGCAATAAAGTCCTTGAAGGTGTTGCTATACTCGTCGCCGTGCAAATGCGGGGCGGGCTCCTTCGGAATCAGGAACAGCACTTTCATGGGGTGAGTGCTGGCATGAGGGGGCTCGCCGTTGATCATCTCGATCGCCGTAATGCCCAGGGACCAGATATCCGCTTTGTAGTCATATCCAGCCTGCTGGATCACTTCCGGCGCCATCCAGAATGGTGTTCCGACAAACGTGTTGCGTTGGGATTTGATGTTGATGAGTTGAGCGGCAACGCCGAAATCCGCCAACTTGACCTTCCCCGCGTGTGATAGAAGCACATTGGCGGCCTTAATGTCGCGGTGGATCTTGCCTTCGCTGTGCAGGTAGTCCAGACCCAGTAGAAGCTGCTGGCAAATAATGGCGACGTGCGCTTCGTTGAAAACCCCGGGTTTCAGCTGGATCTGGTTAGCAAAGAGCTCCAGAGTCGACAGGTCACTTGTGTATTACCAGGTCGAGACAGGATCCACCACCGAGATACTCCATCACAATCCACAGCTTATGACCTCTCAGAAAACTGGCCTTATATTGCGTCACAAACGGGCTAGCGCATGTGGCCAGAACGGAGATTTCCTGCTGGATTTCCTGGATATCGTCCTCACTGGATTCGAGATCGATCTGTAGAAGCCAACCAGTCAATTAAGTCACCGGATTTAAAAGCAGGCGCAGCCAGACGCACATGCTTAACTGCCACAATCTCCCCCGTAGTCTTCTCGATCGCTTTGTACACCGTCCCGAAACTTCCACCTGCGCGCGCACACGGTCAGTCCCCGATGCCATTGCCTCCACTTACTGGCACATTCCGCAGGGCTACTCACTTCCCAGCTCCTCCAGCATCTGATAATGCCCCGACATATCGTCCTCCATGGTTGGCGTGTGCGGGATCCTCAGGCCAAGGGATAATGAAGAGGTGAAGAGAAGAAAGGAAAAAGGAAAAAGGAAGGGACCGCAGCGGACGGCACAGCACACAAGGGGCAGCGCGCACGGCCAGCCAGCTGAAAAACCTGTCGGGACAACGTCGGCAGAGAGCTGAACAGGGTCGAGTCCGTTCACGAGTCCACCAGTCCACAGGCTTGGAGATAAGAGGGGATGATGCTGGTAGCTAGCCTACTCCGGGTCCCGACCAGCCAGCCGTCGCGCATCCGGTGGTCGGCAGCCGCTCGCTCCCATGGTTCGCGGCAGACACAACAGGCGGTAGCTCATGGCAACCATGGTTCGCCTCCCGACCTTCACCGCCCGTCTGGACACTTTCTGGTCGGATCATCTCCGGTCCGCTTAGGTTCCTCTTATCTTTATCCTTATCCCCCGAGTACTTCTTTCGGTTCTGTCCATGGCTGTTGATCTGTTGATCGGTTGGTCTGTTGGTACTATCTCAGATGAGCACTGCCCCGTATAAATCCCCGCGAATGACATGTCATGACAGCTAAGACTACCCACTTCGTCGGGGATCTGACATATCCAATCGGGGACTGGTCCACTAGCCAACCGGTGGCTCAACTGCCAACAGCTACTCCAAGCTCCGATTTGATGAGCCACTGCCACGATCGACATATCAGAGACAAAGAATATGAGCGGTAGCTCGGACAAATCAACCTGATTAATGGTCCATGAATGACAACTAGACCTAAACTCCGGATGCAGCTAACCGTCTCTTTGTCTTTACTAAGTAACATATAGACGACACCACTAATGAGATGGTGCTATGCTGAACCATCACACAATACCCTACAGGGGACTAAAAACTCACAGCCTTGTCGAGGCATCAGATTTGCGGTAGGTGACGGGGTCGTAGAACACATATAAATACTCCCTTGATCCCCGGGTCAGGTGTAGCTATTTGCATCTACAGGTCCTTTCCACTCAGTCAACCGTCTGGTGGCCTCAGAAATAACCATGCAGGTGTATCTAAATCTCAACTTGGCACAGGTGCCAATGCTGGCATCTATCCTCGTGACCCTCACCTTCGTCTCCACCAGGATCCGCCGTTACTTTATACGCCGTGAATTTGCCCGCCGCCATGGTTGCCAATCTGCAGTAAGGGCCAACAAGGACCTATTACTGGGACTGGATCAAATTCTGCCGTTAGTCCACGATATCGGAAAGCACAGGCTTCTTGAGACCATGTGGAAGCGTTATCATCTCTACGGAAACACTTACACATCGAAGCGGGTGCTAAATCCCGGGATCTATACCGTGGAACCGGAAAACATAAAGACGATTCTATCAACCAATTTCAAGGATTATGGCCTCGGGCACCGTGCACAACATTACGAACCACTTCTGGGGAGAGGCATATTCGACACGGATGGTGACCACTGGGCTACATCTCGCGCCCTCCTCCGGCCCAGCTTCACCCGTAACAAGGTTGCGGACTTGAAGTCGTTTGAACATTTGATTCCAGACCTTTTTGCGCTGATTCCGCGTGACGGGGAAACGGTTGTGGACCTACAAGACCTCTTTTTTCGCTACACGATGGATTCCGCCACCGCGTTTCTGTTCGGACAGTCGGTCGGCAGCCTGCGAATGGATCAGTCAGATCTCAGTTTTGCCCCGGCGTTCAACTATGCCCTCGAAGCGATCTGGATGAGTCTCATTCTGGGCCCATTCAGGATATTCAAGCGCGACCAGAAAGCCGAGCAATGCTATCGTATCTGCCGGGAGTTTGCAGAGCGATTCGTTGAGGATGCGGTTAAGGCGGTTCGGTCCGGAAAGGACGAGACAAAACGTGAGAGTTACATTTTCTCGCACGAACTGGCACGGAACACGGCTGATAAACGGCGCATTCTGGATGAACTTCTAAACATCCTGCTGGCCGGCCGTGACACCACCGCCAGCCTTCTGAGTAATATGTTCTTCATGCTGGCCAAGTACCCGGCGATCTGGGATAAGCTGCGCAGGGAAGTGGCTAGCTTAGAGGGGCGGCTGCCTACATATGAGGAGCTCCGAAATTTGAAGTACCTCAGGTGCTGTATGAACGAATGTGAGATCTGCAGTTGTCCTTTCTTGCTATGTTATGACTGACGGCTTGATCAGCATTACGCTTGCACCCCGTCGTACCGCTGAACGAGCGCCTGGCGATGAAGGATACTGTTCTACCACTGGGGGGAGGCAAGGATGGTCTCTCACCCGTCTTTGTAGCCAAAGGCACCCAGGTCGCGTACAATGTGTATGGGATGCACCGACGGACGGACCTTTATGGACCCGATGCTGAGGAATTCCGGCCGGAGCGCTGGGAGGATGGGCAACTTAACCCACGCTGGGAGTACCTGCCCTTCAATGGCGGTCCACGGATTTGTATCGGGCAGCAATATGCGCTGGCCGAGGTCGGGTATGTTACTGTCCGTATGGCTCAGGAATTCCAGACGTTGAAGAGTCGGGACCCAGGACCGTGGGAGGAGTCGCTGCGCTTGACCCTGTGTTCCCGGAATGGAACCAAGGTGTCTCTTACACCAGCCTGAATGTTGTGTCTACTGTGGTATGCTGCCCATGCCATTCCACCGGGTGCCCCTGGGACATTATGAGCGGTGCCTGTTTTCTTCCATTTGATAGCCTCGACCAAATGAATCAAGTTCACGTATTGTTCAACAACATGAAGATAGATGACATTGCGAGCAGAGCCACAAAGCCCACCAACCATCCTACAGGTACAGGAGTACCGGGTACTTCCATTTCCAAACCAAGACCGGGTAACGGTCAGGCTGCAGGAATGGAGCTAATACCTGGCAGTCTGGCAGGGCAGCTGATTCGTGGTGCATGGCGGGTTGGGCCGCCTCGGGGACAAAGCCATTTTATCATTCGACCAGTTTGGATGATGGCTCCATTGGCAACTTGCCAGGCATCATTCATCCATCCCACAAAAGAGCATCCCAATCATCAACACATCGAAACCACGGTCTTGCCGATGTTCATATCCAGCCCTATGTCTCCTCGCTGCACCTTATCGATCCTCGTCGGTCACCTACTAGCCTCGAGCCACCCTATAAATGACCGATGTGGATCCAATATGACTGCTAGGAGGACGTGCGCCAGTACTCCGTGGGAGGCATGTAAGCCCTAAAGCTTAGGCTGGACGCTACTGCCATGGTCATTTAACAGCCTTGCGAATCGGGTAACTTTTTGGCCTTCGGGATTCACCTGGATATTATTTACCAGGAGATAGTAGAAAGGATTCAGCCGGTATGCTTCACCATCCCCCTAGGTAGCTATCAAAAAGGCTTTCCTCCCCTTCCATCCGCCTTTTCCAAAGACTCCCTTGCCATCTGGACATGCTAGAGAGAATCTGAGGAGGAAGCTCACATCCTGTTTCCAACGCTTTGTTCATGATGATCTTGCAACTCTTGGGCTTGCTGGCCCTCGCCTATCTGGCCTGGAACCTGGTGGCAATGGAAATCAACTACCGTCGCGCCTCCTCATTAGGGATTCCTGTAGTGCGTGCCTGCATCGACAACTCGAATGTGCTTTGGATGATGGCCCAGCCTCATCTCCAGCCCTGGCTTGATCGGGTTCCCATTGACTGGGGCAGTTTTGGCCGCTACTGCCGTCGAGATTGGCCTGTTATTGACGGAAACCAGTCTCATCTTCGATACGGTCCCATCTGGGCCCTAGCAACGCCCCGTAAGATATACATCCACGTTACCGACTCCGAGGCCAGCCATGACATTTTTCAGCGACGGACGGATTTTATCCGGCCAAGTGAGATATACAGTATGTTGATGTTTCCTCTCTAAAGACCATTTTCTCAATATTTTGCAGAGGTGCTCGAAGTTTTTGGGCCCTGTTTATCCACAGCCAGCTGGACGAACTGGCCGCGCCACCGGAAAGTGTTGGCTGCGCCGTTCAACGAAAAGGTCATGTCTTTTGTTTGGGATGAAAGCGTCGAGCAAGCCGGCCAGATGTTGGATGCCTGGACTGCCCCGGATGTTGACCAGATTCCTGGCATTGATAAGGATACCCGCACATTGTCGTTGAACGTCCTGGCTGCCACGGGATTCGGCAAGTCATATTCCTTCCGCAGCGCCAATGACCCCCTCAACCGGAGCGAGTCGGATAACTATCGTGATGCTCTGCGGACCGTGCGTGACGATTGCATCCTGTTGATGGTCGCGCCACGGAGATTGCTCACGCTTCCATTCGTTCCTGAATCGTGGCATCGCGTGGCCAAGGCTGCGGTGGATTACAAACAACACATGGTCCGCATGCTGAACGAGGAGACTAGAGCATTGAACGAGGGACAGGCCGGTGCTGGTGGCCTCATAACATCTTTCGTGCGGGCTATGGATTTGAAACAGAAGGAGGACGCAAAGGGAAAAGCCAGTGGCTCGCCTCCCAAAGGACTCAGCATCGATGAGATCTTCGGCAACCATTTCGTCATCAACTTTGCCGGCCATGATACAACCGCCAATACCCTCAGTTTCGCCATGGTACTCTTGGCCGCATACCCGGAGGTTCAAGACTGGGTAGCCGAGGAACTACACATGAGCAGAGATACAAAGGGACAGTATACTGACCTTTTCCCCAAACTCAATCGCTGCAAAGCCATCATGGTACGTCACCCCCCTTCATCATAACCCACCGTCTCACCTGTATAGCTCGAAGCCCTCCGCCTATTTCCCCCAATTCCCACGCTTCCCAAACGCACCAACAACCAGCCCCAACCTCTCAAAGTCGGAGAAAGAACCGTGATAATCCCACCAAACATATTCGTTCATCCCGGTTTGCTCTCCATGCACCTCCACCCCCAGCACTGGGAAAGCCCACCGATCTGGAAGCCTTCCCGGTGGGTAACGTCTGCAACCACACTTGAAGACGAACAGGTCATCACTCCGCAACGGTGTACATACTTTCCCTGGTCGGACGGACCACAGAACTGCCCTGGGAATAAGTTCTCGCAGGTGGAGTTTGTAGCTGTGGTGGCGACCATTCTTCGTGAGCATCGGATTCATGCTGTTCCAGAGCCTGGAGAGACATTCGAGGATACGCGCGTGAGGGTTCTGTCTACTACCAGGGATGTGGATATGCATTTGCTTCTCAAGATGAAGGATGCTGATAGGGTGAGATTGGTGTGTGAGCGTGCCTGATACTGGTGGGATGTAGTAAAAATATCGTGAGATCTGTCAGCACACAAGTATCTTTGATGAATAAATCTATGACTCCAACAATACTACCTACAAAGTGGGAAAAACCCAACAGAAGAACACAGCATACCTCTATTCCCAACTGACCACTCACTCAGTAGCTAACCCAACACCTACCACCCAATTATATATCCACATCTAAACAGCAGTAGTAGCAGTAGCAGTAGCATGCCTCTTGACAAACTCCGCCACCTGATCCGGAACCACCAACCACGGCGAATGCGCCGTCTTAATCTTCTCCGTCTCAATCCTCGCCCCCTTTGCCCTCGCCTTCTCCACCATCAACTCCTGCACAAACAACGGTATCGCTCGATCCTCCTCACACAACAAATAAGCACTGGGAATATCCACATAGGCGGCCCCGTAGCCGGCGAAATCTTCGTCGCCCACGCATGAGGCCGTAATGTTTCCGCCCAGGCCTTTCCATCCGGCACATCGTGGAAGAATAAACTGTATGGGTCGCTCGTCGATACAGTCCCAGCTGCTTCCTACAATCCCATCATCAAAACCTACATCCCCCAAAAAAAAGAAAGGAAAAAGGAAACTTACATCCCGAACATACCACTCCGGCGCCTCCCCCCCAAAAGCAGCAATCAAACTCTCCCCCACCTCGGGGATAAACGCCGAGATGAAGATAATTTTCACGACGCCGCCCACTTTCCCTTCTTTTTGGCGCGATTCCTTGCTGAGAGAGGATAGGGCGCTGTTCACGGGAAGTCCCGACCAGCTGTGACACACTATCACGATGTCGTTTCCGGCGTCGGCTTCTTTTTCGACGAGGGTGCGGATGGTGAGGATGTCGGGTTGGAGGTCTTTTACTTCCGTGGCGGCTTGGATTGACGGGAAGGATACCGTGTGGCAGGTGTAGGTGGGGAGGTGGGTGATTAGGGGGGAGAATGCGTGAGGGGGGTACCAGGCGCCGGGGGTGAGGATTAGGGTTGGGTTGGGGGTGGGGGTGGACATTGTGGAGGGTTTGGGGGGAAGGGGGTTAGAGTTGAGATTTGAGAGAATTGAATGATGAGAAGAGGTGGATGGGACGGGATGGGTGGATTGTTAAGTAACCCCCCTCTGTTTGTTTGGGTTGAGATTCAGCGTTGCTTGGTGGAGTATTCTATTAGCTATTACTGGGTAGGAATCGAGTTTATGGCGGTTGGTAGTTTGTACCACTAGTTGATAATCTAGACTAGTAGTATGGCCAGGAACCGGAGACTACGTATGTGCTGTAATACGGATATGCATGAGTTGCCTGATGGCCGTTATAGCTAGCTTACAACATCAGAATTACCAGTCAATACATGGTAATATACACCCCACATGTCAGACTGTCAGACCACGTAGGCAACCCCATTCCTATCCAAGATGATTATCGTAAGCATAAGCCTAGATATGTAGTTAGCCGGTATTGGTTGGTTGGTTGGTTCCCTATCTAGATAGGCAGGGGTTATTCTACAGCTGTGGCTTTTTTTCTTTTTTTTTCTTTGTATGTAAATGTGATCGGTAGTTTGGATGTGATGGTTTTTGGTTTCCGGGGGTTTATTGGCTGTGAGGGGTTTTGGTTTGGCTGGTTGGATGCTTATCTCGATGTGAAAGGAATCGGTTGGTGATTGGGGGAATTCGCCTGCTTTGTTCATTTCTTGTCAAGGCTTGTTGCTGGTTAGGGAGTTGGCTATCATGGGCATTCTTTGAGCTATCGCGCGATGGTTTGAGTGGTGATTATGCTCGTGCTGATTTTGATGTGATGATCATGGGTGATAAGGCGTCGGAAGGGGGATGTAGTTTCTGAACGGAATTGTTCTAGAGATGGAACAGTCATTCTAATGTTGTGTGAGGGGTGATGGGGGGAATCTGGTATGGCAAGGTTGGTGGATTTCCTGTGGCGTGGCGTTTCTGAAATAGATATAGGCGGAACTAAGAATATAGATGGACGACAAAAATGATGCCATCTAAAAAGATACTATATTCGATGTATAACCATTACTAGATATTCAGTACCCATATATAGACACAGTGATAGTATATTCCCACTAGGCACGTCCATGTTTTTTGAGTAGATTAGCCTCGACCCAAAGAAAAACAATGAGAAGGGAAAACGATAAAGGACAAAGATTGTCTGATCAAAATATGCGGAAATCAGGATCGATCAGTATTATCATAGAATTGGAGTTAGATATATACAACAAAGCACACCAGGATGGATTTATAGCAACTGAGTCAATCCATCGAGATACCATAAATTTGTCCAAGAAAACTACCTCCCGAAGACAAAAAGTCAAGAAAACAAACAGTTATATATGAATATCCTCAAGACAAATGGGACGCCTTCTGGGACTGGAGCTCGGCTTGTCCAATACGAACCAAATCACTATTATCCAGTGTTTCCTGCTCAAACCCCTGCACCGCCTGATTCAATAAAGCAGCAGCAACCTCAGTTAGGTGCACATTTGGAATCGCGCGGGTGAAGAGATTAAGAACGCTAAACATAGAGCCGATAACAACCCTAAACCACGAATTTGAGTTTGTAATGGCACCCGGTTTGGCAATACAGACTTCGACATCCTTGTACTTGGATGGGAAGTCGAGAACCATGAGTTCAGTTTCGCCCTATAATGGTAAGCCACAGATTTATAGATGAATTCAGTCAATGAGCGAAGCATAAAACATACACGCATGACTTGATAATCCCCCCAAACCATAGGTCTCTGTGCTGGGTCGCGCGGCGTGCCAGTTGCACTCACATACAGGAAGCGCAATGGACGTGCTGATCCGGCCTCATAAATGGCATTGAATCCTTCAGCGGTGCAATCCCGACAGACGCGCCTGATCTCGGCGAAATCAAACTGGGTTTGTCTGAAGGGCGTTACTGCAACAGTCCTGGACGAGTTAGGTCTTACATAGAGAATCAGGATAGTGGATTGCACCATATACATGCATCTGCACCTGAAAGGTCGGCTTTTACATCATCGGGATATTCTCCATAGTCTCGGATAACGACACTCTTTAGCTTGGAGGAGTTGATGTCGACCTGAACGGGCTTGCGGGCAAGGGCGATGACCTGGGTGATTTTATTGTTTTGTAGGCTCTGTCGGATAACTTCAGTACCGAGTAGTCCGGTTGCACCGGTGACGATGAGCTTCATGGTGGCGAGTATGGAGATTTTGGTTCTTAGGTCTAGAGGTAGATGTTGTGACTGGTGTCAATGTATATAGAGCGGGATCGGTATCCGAATGCCGGTCCAGCCAGCAATGGCCGTAGCAGTGCACAGACGGGAACCAATGAGAATCTTCAGAGGATGTGACGTCAGCAGTCATCGGGGTTCGGCGTGCCGAACCCCGATATGGGGGGGAGGAGTTGTCCGTCTTCCTTCCACTTCTCCTTTGCTTTTTCTTGTATCTATCTTTATTGAGAAGGAATAAAATATCCCGTCGGAGCCGGCCTTGATCGCCGTGATAAATATCGTCCAGATGACGCGTACCCAGTTATACGGAAGGGCACGTATCGACCCATTCTGGTGTTGCCAGTTACTAACGGCCGCCGCAGGCTTGTCTCCAGTGTTCTAAATCCAAATGCAAATGCATCTCTCGACCCGATGGCCAGGGTTGTGAAAGATGCTATCGGATGAATAGATCATGTCAACCGGGCACCTCGACACGGACCCTGCATGCTCAACGAAACAACACCGTTGCCCGCATTTCGCAGCTCGAAGGCAAGATTGATAGCCTCGTCTTTCAGCTGGGGGCTCGTGATTCAAATGCTTCTTCTGAGACCTCTCAGCGCCCCGCAATCTCCAGCTCCAGTTCACTCTCTGGAGAGGCTGCTTCCGCATCGGCGTCAACTTCATACGTATTCGAGTGTTCACCAGAGTCACTACATATCTTCCAGGACCAGATGCTCAAGTACTTTCCCTTTCTTCATATTCCTAGAGACGTCCAATGGCTACACCAGGAGCGTCCATTTCTCTCCCTCTGCATTATGATGGTCACTTCTCGCTCAACCCAAACCAAGATTGAGCTAGGGGAAAAGATTCGAAAAATCGCCACGGAACGTATCTATCTCTCCACTGAGCCAGGGGCCGTCAACATCGACCTCCTTCTCGGTCTCTTGACCTTTATCGCCTGGGCTCACGACCATTTGCTCCACAACTGTGCGGGGAGCCTGTCGCGTGCCACTCAGCTCGCCATGACCGTGGTATTTGATCTCCGTCTTAACAAGCCACTTCCCGAAGATTCAAATATGCTCCCTGTCGGAGTCGATCGTACCTGTGCATCCTTGAACGTGGCTACGCGGACACTCGAAGAGCGGCGAGCGGTGCTAGCGTGCTTCTTAATGAATTCTATGTTTGTCCCTTACATCTACCAAGTTTGTTTCACTGGAACTAACATAAATCCAGAGTATCATCGTATCTTGCGCAGCTTGACCCCATGCAATGGACGCCACATATGGACGAATGCCTCGAATTCCTGACGCAGAATGCGGAATCACCGCATGATGAAGTATTGGCCCATCAAATCCGGCTGCAACGCATTGCCAGTGAGATGGAGAATATTCGAAGTTCATCAGAACCCGTGCCACTGGCCTTCTATCTGGCAGCTCTTCGGCGAAAGGTCAATGAGGTCAAAGAAGGGATATCACCGGAATTACGGCAGAATGGTTAGTATCCCTCTTCCCCCCCTCTGGTGACCTCAAGGTCTGACCACAAGCAGGAATCATCGGTGCCTCGATATATTATACCGAATTGAGCCTCTTCGGGCTCATACGTAACATAAAAGAAGACCTTCCAGACTTACAGAGACTGGATGCTCTCCATGGATGTCTCCACACAGCCAAGTCGGCGATAGATCGTTTCTTCGAGATCCCAGTGGTCGAGTACTACGGCATCTCGTTCCCATTCTTTGGCTACCTCGCCCGATCCATCGTCGTCCTGTTCAGGCTCTCTATCCTGAATGATCCCGTATGGGACACCGGCTTGATGCGGTCAACCGTGGACGTGCTGCAGGTGATGGACCGATTGATCAGTAACCTCCAGCAAGCTAGAGCTGCGGCAGGGGAAGAGGCGGCCGGTGGCCATTTAGACAGCTCGACCCGCAAATTTCGGTTGATCCGGTCCACGTGTGCTGCGAAGCTCGCGGAGCATGAGCAGAAAAATCGTACTGCGTTCCAGACGGCCAGAGAGAACGACTTGCAGCTCAACTCTCTGCTACTGGACTATGGATTGTTGGATGAGAGTTTGACATCCGGGTTGTTGGAAGGAACCCAGTTTCTTGATGGGCTGTTATGGTGATCACCGCACGTTCTCAGCCACACGACATGGTTGAAAAACTCGCCACAACGGAGTCGGGTCTGGCCATAAGGACCGAATATGGCAAATGTGCCCGCAGGTTATCTGACATGCTCTAAGGCCCTTGTTGCAAGAAGGACAGTGAGAACTAAACATTGTTGATACTATCTCCCGACGGGATTCGGAGACCGATGCTATTAATAGCCCGAAATAGCCGAGATTTAAGCTTCTGTCACGTGAATCCGACCAGATCCGCTCTCGTGACCCACTCGAGATGGCTGCTTGATATCACCACGCAGCGAGGTGTTGAGACTTGAACCCTCACCGTATCGTTTCTGTCTTGAAGGACAGATATCAGAAGAATGGCAGTCTCAATGCGCCTCAAAATGACCAGGAATGCAGCTGAGTGGGTCAGGACCTCGTATTTGGGAAATTGGAGATACTCCAGGCATCAGTCATCCTGTGCAGGATTCCGAACTAGTCGGAGAAAGGGGCAGGGCCCTAGTCACCTGACAGAAAGAATCGGTCTCGCCAGCTCCAATGAGTTCTATCAATTCGATTCACATCGCATATACTCTTCCTATATCTACTTCTAGCACGTCGTGGCTGGTGACGTTAATCGCTGCTGATCTCTCGGCATGGGCCACATCTTGGCAGTGGTTCCACACGAACCACATCCAGAGCCCATATCAGAGAAACCAAACATCGACACGGATACGGACGGAACGGAGATTCCTGCAGCAAGTGCCGACGATGTCGAGCCAGCTCCAAAAAAGTCCCTGGCGTTTAAACTCTCCTTCATAGGACTGGCTGCTGGCCTGTTTGTGTTCCAGATGGATGCAACGGCCCTCGGTATTGCCATTCCAGTGAGCGATACCATCTTTCTCAGCAGCTGAGACTAGCTCCTCGGTAGACCATCGCCGAGGATCTCGAAGGCCAGAGTCTGGAGTCCTTTTGGGCCAGCATGTCCTACACCCTATGTGGTCTGGTCATGCAGCCAGTCTGGGCGAGCATCTCCAACGCGTTCGGTCGGAAACCACCGTTCTACGTATCCATGGGCTTTTTCTTCGTTGGATCCATCATTTTTGCCATCGCCAAAAACATGAACACCCTGATTGCTGGCCGGGTTCTTCAAGGCTTCGGCGGGGGTGGAATTGACGTGTTGGCCGAGGTCATTCTCGCAGACATGACAACGCTACAGGAACGCTCGAAATATCTTGGCTTGATGGCTATTCCCACATCCATTGGCATTATCATAGGTCCCTGTGTCGGTGCACTATTCTCCACCTATGCAAGCTGGAGATGGATCGGATGGATCAACTTGCCAATCCTAGGAATCGGTACTCCACTGGTGTTTTTCTTCCTCAAACTACGTCCCATTCCCCTTGACGCAGGACTTTCCCAGAACCTGAACCGTCTCGACTGGATCGGAATGATGCTCCTTGTCATCGGAGTCACAATTTTCGTTCTACCTCTCAGCTGGGCAGGATCTCTATTCCCCTGGGCCTCATGGCAGACCCTCCTTCCATTTTTCCTAGGGATCGCAGTCCTAGTCATATTCGCTTTCTATGAAGCGAAACCCGCCACACCAATCGTCCCTCACCGACTCTTCCACTCAAAGACCGCCAACATGACCCTAGCAGGAGCCTTCATCCACGGCGTCATTCTAATAACCCTTCTCCAATACCTCCCCTTACTGTACCAAGCTGTGCAACTCAAAACCCCCATCATCTCTGCCGTCTCTCTGCTCCCCACCGTTATCACCAGCGTAATCGTCACAGCCGTCTCCATGATGCTCGTTCCATGGTTCGGAGGATACGTCTGGATTCTACGACTAGCATGGGCCATCACCGCGCTGGGAGCCGGCCTTCTCGCTCTTTTCCACGTGGGATCGGCTCCATCCCTGCGTTTCGGTCTTCCCATCATCTGGGGCGTGGGTGTCTCCTTACTACGTCTTAGCATCCTACCCATGCAAGCGAGTGTCAAGCACGTCGATGACACCGGGTTAGTTATCGGCCCATTCCTCACGATCCGCATGTTCGGAGGTCTCGTTGGTTTGACTATCGCTTCGTCGATTTTTAATACCGTCTTCGCGTCGTCTCTTCGGTCTAGCAACGTGCAGCTTACCGGTCCGCTGGAACCACTCCGTGAAGTTTCCAATGCTGTGGCGTTCATCGATAAGCTGAGATCGCTTGACGTTCCCCGTGAAAGTCTGGATCAGGTCCTGGAGGTATATCTGAAATGCTTCCAGACTATATTCTACACCATGACGGGCTTCAGTGGTCTAGGGCTGGTGGCTTCGATCTTCGTGGAGGAGATTGACCTCAAGGGACGGAGTCAGGGGAAGCAGCGCTTTGAGGATAATTAGGGGGGATTTCATGTCCCACTTGACATCCTTCTCAACCGGATGATATAGCCAAATGGATAATCTCCTGGTTTCGGTAAAGATGTATAATGCCTATTTAGTTTGTATAGACAGGTTAGACTTACTGTATTTAATTCAAAACAAGACAATAATTATATTCTTTTTCATATAGTTAGCTAAACCATAATATCTATTGACTATAGTAGATCTATCACACCCGGTCTCATCTTCAATGAGCGCAAGCACCGCAAGGATATTCAACCAAGACCACGAATGGGGAGGAGGCGCGGCTAGTATTCCTCCTTGTACTTACTGTCATCTCTAGTACCTCTTGATCTAAAAGAATCAGATTATGCATCGTATATTAAATCTCAAAATGAATAAATACCCTCGTGAATATAAAACTAGAGATTAGTACAAAGAGTCAATTAGGAATGGGGGGGCTATTTGCACAACTAGTCGATATGGCGTTCACTATCTACAAACAAGGCGGAGGAGCAATGATTATATAAACTCGTGAGACGTGAGGTGAGGAAGTCACTCGATTGATTCTAGGTATCTTTCTCATGATGTAAATTTCATTCTCGACACGAAAAGACTGTAGTAAAATAGATTGAAATCCCGAAAAATGTGTGCTGTAGGTATATGGCGATTGCATTTTGAGATACGTTGGAGGGTAATTGAGGAATGTGCGAAGTAGTGGAGTTGTGCATGGGTTTTTGTGAATGGGAAACAGGATGAGTGAGATTGGGAGGAACTTCTTGCTGGTATTTCGGGATGTAGAGGAAGACTGGCTTCTCTGCTGTGTCTGGTTGGCTTTGGTGAGCTTGCAGGCCGTGGGATGCAGTAATGCGCAGTGTGGGCATCAGTTGAATGTCTCTTAGGGTTCTTCCTCGGAGATCTCATTCAGTTGTCCGGTTGCTTGAAGTAGCTTGACTATTTCATCATAACCATATTCAGCAGCCAATGCTAGAGGTGTTCATCCCCATCTGTCCTTGGAGTCCACATCTACCTGCCCAGTAGCTAGAAGTAGGTTTACCACTGCTTCATGGCCACGTTCAGCAGCCAAAGATAGTGGTGTTGTGCCATCCGAGTCCTTGAAATCCACATCTACCTGCCCAGTAGCTAGAAGTAGGTTTACCACTGCTTCATGGCCATCACGAGCAGCCAAAGATAGTGGTGTACGACCATCGGCATCCTTGAAATCCACGTTCATCGGCTCAGCGGCAAAGCTCAGCTGAACCACAGCCGCAATACCCAAAGCTGAGGCTATTGCGATAGAAGTGCTATTTTCAGGAAGCATACGGTGGTCCTCGATGTATATGCTGGACCAAAAAGAATACGGCGCCGCTTCAGTTTGGCAGAGAGCATACCCGAGAGTTGCTAATTCGTGATCACCCTGCAGTCGTGCCTTTCGGAAGTGGGAGGGCCAGAACCGTGCTGCATAATCGATAAAATATTTCCAACCAATCCCATAGATCAAGTATGATGCGCATGCTCTGGCGAGAACTAAATGTGAGTCGGTTGGCCGCAAGGAATGTTTCCATTTATCCGGCCGAAGAGGACAGTTGGGAACCAGGAATTCTTTAACCGTTTGATGTAGCAAGTAAACTTTGGTGTCTATGATGACCAGCATCAGACCACATAGATCTCTGACAGTTCTTTGAAAGCGTTCATTGTCTGTGTAAATTTCGTCATTGATGTCTATATCTTTGGTCCTTTCTGCGCCGAAGGCCAAAGCCACAGATAATTCATCAAGAGAAAGGGGTCGCTCTGCGGCTAAGGCAATATCTAATAGTGTCTTAGCCTTATCATGATCAGGACTGCGATCCAGAATTCGGGTGTAAGCATCATCAACAGATTTTGGGACACCATGAATTGCACGGTGAATATTTCCTTTGGTGAACCCTGGCATTCGCTCAATCACATCCAAGGTCAAGCTGACCCATAGATATGTTCGATTTTCAATGCTTTCCGACGTAAGTTGCTTCTCCAAGTACATGCATTCGTCTTGACGTAGGTCGTTTTGATGGCCAATTCTCCTTACTCGTTCGCCGATCACCAGATCTATTTCTCGCGAGATCTTTTCCACCTCAACCTCACCTTCCCCACTCAAGTGAATCGTGGGAAATCGGTCCTCCAGTGCCCGGAATTCGCGCCGGATATGGTCATAAGGTCTACTTGTCATTAGTACCTTTAGATTCTGTTGAGCTCGGTCACCATTGTAGAGTTTTTCCACGGCTTCAATGAGGCGCGTTCGGTCTTCATCCTGACACTCATCCAATGCATCGAACACACAAAGAACCTCCCCAGCATCACGCGTGCATGTTACATAAATGAATATGCTCCAGAGGTCGCTAAATGATTCGACTAGTTTTTCTCCGTCAGTTTCCATTTATTCAGTACCCAGTCCTCCAACAGGTGTGGCTGGACCATAAATAATTGACGTAATATGGTGGCAGCTGCGTTTGTGGCGTGCTTCTGATCCACAAAGTCATCCTTGAAGAAGAAATAGCAAACCGTTCTTTTCTCCTTCGGAAGGTATTCATCGACCAAGTACTTTGTCAGCACTGATTTGCCACATCCTGGATCTGCTGATACCCATAGAAGGCTCGAGTGATTGCTTTGCTCCTAGTTTCGGAACTGTTCATGTTGTGTAAACCATTCACATGTGCCCGGCACACGCTTGCTGTTTCGGTCTTTGCGGTCCCCATAAGGGCAAGTGTAAAGGAGCTTTAAGAATTTTCTGATCTTCTCTTCTCGGGGCGATGTTGTCTGCCACGCATTAACTGTTTTCAAAGTGTTGTGCATCTGCTCAAGCCTGATTCTGATCTCCGTATCGCGTTTTATGTCCGTGAAGCTTTTTATGGAGTTTTCAAGGCGAGTGGTATCTGCCAGCAGTCCATCCCAGGCATTCTGTTTGAACATATCTGCAAGCAGCTGAGAAACTGGGTGCTTTTGTAGATAGCAAAGAGCCCGAGCTTGGAATTCCAGTATCTTGGAGTACAATATAACTATAACTCCCTGGAAATTTTCAATGAAGAGCTTGTTTTGGCTTTCGTCGCGCTGTAAATAAAGACATTCCCTTTCTCGAAGAAGAGGGATCAAAGCGGAGATCTCCTCGAGTCCCTGTAAGAGGGTTTCATGCTGTTCGGCTGCTTGCACGAGGAGCTGAATATGATGATTAGACACCAGTTAGACACCACAAATAATAGAAGGAAAGGGAAGATTTCCAACATACCTGGAGAACCACGGTGAGTCCCGCACAGGCGATTGCAGCAGGAGGACTTAGGCTGGCTGCTGTACTAATGATATCTTTGAATGTCAAAACATTCCGAAAGACCCTGGTAAGTTGGTCTCGGACCTGGAGGCTGTGACCCCCTAGCTGGATTACCCACTTCCTTTCCTCCAGATGATGAGTTTTGGCATCTAGAAATTCGCAGAGCCCTTCAAGGCCGATGGTGCTCCCTGGCTGGATATCCAGTCCGAAATCTGTTTCGAGGATTGTTTGAGATGCAGCCAGTATTTTTCTCATTTTTTCGTCTTCTTTCAGGCGCCCTTCTGCTTTTGCCCAAAGATCTTCAGACACAAAGGGGGCTTTGGCACGCGTTTCCCGTTCCGGCAGCTGGGGACGCGATTGATCCTCATCTTGCCGCTTGGAGGCCACTTGTTTGGGCCGAATTTTCGCCTTGATTTTACTTCTTAGGCCCATGGTCAGACGTAAAATCTCCCGCGCGATCAAGATAAGAAAAAGTGGGAGAAGAGATGGAGGACGCGGAAACCTCGTCTTCGAGTTCAGCACCTTTGCCGGGTTTGATTGACGTGTCTCTCCTCCACTAGCCAACCAGAGCCATGCTCATGCATGGTGGCGCTAATTCCAACAGTGTCAGCTCTCTTCACGCGCCCACCGTGAATCGATCGGGTTCCCATCAGTAGTACTTCTACCCATACGTCCTTATGTATGATAATGCGGGTTATTGCATGGGGGTTCGGTTGTGTAGGAGACCGGTAACATGGAAGATGCCATCCCGGTCGAGGTAGGAAGGATACTTGTGAAGTGGATGGAGCACAGGAATTCTCCGATCCCCCCCAGTATTGGAGTCGGCCAATCTGGATCACCTGACCATCTTGCCTGCCTGTTACGGAGAACCTCAAGGATTGAGACGAGGCCTCGTGACTGGAGATGTCCGACTCATCTTCCTGGTCTTGCGTTACATCCGCGTACCAGCCCCTATAGGTGGAGGCCATTCGAGAATCACGCACGGAGTAGCCATCGAGACTAAGCTTTAAGAACCATCGCTAGATCGATTTAGTGCCGTTCATCCACGGAATCGTCGCATTTCATTAGTTCTCGCAGCAGAACTAACCGCTTGGTTCCTCCCGCCAAGGCCGATGTCTCAGACCCGTCAGATACATGGCATTAATGCCGCACTTCTGATTGTTCCGAACTCCTCCGACGAGGGCAACTTTTGGATCTGTCCAAGGTACACTCTTCAATATGGTTATAGGCAAACGACTAATCATCTAATTGAAATGCGCAAAAACAAGTCTAGAGATGTCTCTATCACAGGGTCAAAATCTCGGATTCTCCTTCTTTCGCTCCTCCTCCACAAAAGTCTCAAAATCTGCCACCTCCTCCGGAGACATATGCACGTCCTTCCCCAGGTCAGCCTTCATCTGAAACACCAACTCAGACATCGCCTCCTGCGTCAGATCACTCCAGCAGACCACCGTCAAGTCGTACGGGCTGGCGTTAATGCTTTTGATGGTATACGCCTTGTCTCGCACATGGTCCGCAACCGCGACAAAGACCTCATCAGTGCCAGGTGGGAAGCTTGAACTGGTGATTCAGAAAGTGGAGTTGAGATTCATGTTGATCCAAGTGGCTTTGACAGATGGGGGCCCAGAGATCGAAAGGTGGTTCGTGACTGCATGGATGCTACCGGTTGTGGGATTTTGGAACATTCCGCCCACGATGGGAACGTTGTAAACTGGGTGCCACGGTGTGAGGTAGGTCATTTTGCAGGTGAGATGGAGGATGAAGGGGAGTGTTCCAGGTGGACCCTGTGAGATCGGAGGTCTGGGCTTTTAAATCTGCTGAGCCTAGTATGAATCTAGCTATCCATAATAAGACCAGGGCATCAAAACTAATGATCTTAGCGCAAGACGGAGTCTGTGGTCAGCCCAGAACCCTGTCGGGCTACTGAGAGACTCCACTCAACCGGAAACAGGCTGTACCGAACTGTTGCTGCGGCAGGTTTGTTCCTAGGCTTATAAGGATAACCTACACGTAATGCGTCGATCCCTTGATAGTCCACCCTCTGGCAGCGTATATATCAACCTATCTAGGCATCCTTCCAGGGCCAACACTCATTGGAAGGTCCGGCGTGTGATTGCACACATGATCCAGTTCAGGGCCAAATATGCTATTCCCGAGTGAATGACACTGGTGCCGATTATGGGATCTTTATATTCTAGTCTCGTTGGGATAAAAGTCTGGGACTGTTCCAAACACCATTATCCCGGGGCAGTCTGGGCTGGACTATAGCGGCCATCGAACTTCGGTTGAACCTAAAACCTCTCCCATCAGGACTTGCTGCACGATCGTCGTCATCGCCCAACGTATACTTTTCTATCAGCGGAAAGTCTAACCCACAGATGATTCGGACCAGAATATTATATGATTCACTAAGGAAATCTCTGGAAAGAAACTCAACCTTCAAGGGAATAAACGATATAACTTATCCTCGCCTTCAAACCAAACTGCATCACGATCGAAACTTCCATCCAAGACCCCTGTGTGCTCACAATGCAATCTACTCTGCAGGCATCCAATGCACCGAAATAGGATCATGCTTACTCCGGATTCTCTCCCCCTTGGACCACAATTGAAAGGTGAGATCAGCGGGACCAACAACAACCCTGACCTCGAACGAGGTGCGCCAGAAGGCAGGCCTTGAGCTGTACCAGTGCCGGTTCTTGAGTTTCTTATCCACATTATCGGTCAGAATATCTAAGTTGCATACCGGCTGAACTCCCTCATCTTTCACGCCACGTGGAAGCTTCTCTGGCAAGAGAGTCGACATGACGATCCGAACTTTCCAGGGTTCATTCTCTTGGCCGAAGTCGGTCTTCAATTGGAATTCCTTGGTAACCCCGGATGAGGGGATCGGGCAGCCCTAGACGTTAAACGGTTATCATTATGGAACGCGCCTGGGTTGGTATCGGCCTACCCTGATCACGAGCCAATCAATTTGATCCAACACGTACATTCGGTTGTCGCGAGGATCGAGCTGGACTCGTTCGCCAACATGAATTTCTCGACTGTATAATTTGTTGCAGATAATACCATAGCTCACTGGCGCACATCGGGATCCAAATGTAACAACGCCGCGCTTGAGTTGTTGGATCCGGTCCATGACTAGGCCGTGGACGACGACCAGCTGTCTAACACGAGGTCAACACTTGTCTGTTGGTAAAATATCTGTGGATCACTCACGGCTCATCGGCTGTCAGAACCTGCATCTTCTCCGTTTCTGGGCAACTTCCCGGACTGTATCTTTCATAGAGACATTTCCTCACGTACGGTGAGCTGCCGAGACCACCTGACAGGACTAAATATGTCTACATGTGTCAGCTGGCTTTGACCTCAAGCTGCCAAGGGGGCTTACAATGCGGTCGTTCGGATATTGCTTATGCAATTGATGAATATACCCGTCCAAGAGCCGGAAGATTCCAGCAATCTTCGAATCGAAGCACTTTTGTATATCCTCCCTTTTCATGTCAGCATCCACGTTAATTTAGATCGAATGATCCTTACCAAGCAATCTGCATCTGGCCATCATATATGTCCGCCTCTGGATGGTCGGAATCAGATACTAAGGACGGCACATCGAGCTTAAGCCATGGAGTGGCGGTGGCTTCAGTGCCAAAGGCACACTTATAGCGCTGGAACCGTCCGAATGTCATCTTCCAAGCAGTCGCACTGGGAGACGATCGTAAATGCGGACGAACTGCTTCGAGCCGTGTGGCTATGAGGCGATGAATCTCCCTATCAATAAAAACCGAGCCGATCGGGTGGCCTACTAACGTTAGCAAGAGTTGTGGTAGAGCTATGCTGCTCACCTTCCACATGGCCCAACTGCGCCAGTCGTGTCGGTTCACCCCTTGCAGAGAGAAGTCTGAGGACATTCACATCCTGCACCTAATGTTGGCTTAGAAAATCTACCGTGGTGGAAGGGTGTTACTGTGGTTCCTCCCCCAGAATCGCACACCAAAATCGTATCATCTTGCTGCAGTCGTCAATCGATGTCTCAAAGATGGAGGGGATGACTGACCAAGTAATGCTCATTGCCAGCATAAACTGCTGCTGCCTCGGCCTCAGTCAGACCAATACAAGCGCGGTGGTTGGGATTGTGCACCCCAATCACTTGAGCGAGCAGTCTACGGGTTTCTTCAACCATGCGCACATCCTTCCACGTTGTGGGGACGCTGAAAAGAAATTCCACCCGTTGAGTGACAAACTGTGGAATGGTGGTCTCAAAATACGACACAACATGTCGATAGAGACATCGAATATAGTCTTGAAGCCATCGCTGGGCCTCGGCAAGACTTGGACCTTCTTCCCTGGGATGATGTGGGGAGAGATGAAGCTTGAAGAACTCTTTCAAGCCCTCTTCGGGGCTGTCGACTTCACATTGAAAGCCCCAGTGAATCACTCTCGTCGAGTTGGCATGGTAAGTGATGCAGGTGGGCACTTTGTTGACCAGCTCTCCAGGTAGCTTCCCTGGCCATCTCTGGATGGTTTTGGGAGGTGGCCAGTCGGGTCCATACGAATATGCCACCCCTAGAACGGGCAGTCAGCAACTGAAATGTGTTAGAGACCATTTCCATACCAGTGTGTGTCATGCCAAAGTCAACCCCGACGACAATATCTGGCCGCCATTCCTCATCAGCAAAGCCCTTACTCGGGGGGCCCAAGGCTTCTTTGTCACTCATCTTGGGTTAGGAAAGAATAGGGACTGATTCACGTGGAAATTCTGGCTCAGCCCCCTAAAATGGGTTGCAGCTCGCAATTTCGTTTTCGCCCTAAAGGATGCAACTAAAATGCCGGCCAATACAATGACGCTATCCGAGGCCTTACCATGCGACCCTAGCGAGTCGGGCCCACCTTCCAGCTCGACGTTGATGGGTGGAAAGAGTATTTATCGCTCGTCGAGCCATCTTTGCCCGACATCTCCCACGCACAAGATGGCGGCCTTGTTTCACGCTCGACAAGAGCCAACACGGGCATCAACGTCCAGTTTTACACCGGCATATTCTCCCTTGACAAGCAGTAGAACAACTACTTCGCACACCCCGACCATCTCGAGCTTTTCTGTCACCTCTTCTACCACGTCAGCTAATGTGGTTAACACTACTATCCCCTCTAGTACGGCATCGAGTCTTCCAGAGAGCAGACACGGAGTCAGCAATGGTGCTCTGGCAGGAGCAGTGGTTGGATCCATTGTCGGAACCGCCCTTGTTGCCCTCATAGCTGCCGTTCTCTTCTTTCGTTTCAGAAGAAGACCTACACCCAATCCACAAACACCTTCGCCTCCTGATCAGGGGTTGGAGTTTTCCAAACTACCCACGAGCCAAACTCGACCTATTGCCGCTTCCCGTCCTGTCCGGGGGGAACAATTTCCCCCGCTCGACCTGGTCTCGTTTATTCCCCCACCAGCCGACGACCAAAGCGTGAGCGCACGGATTCATACCTTTTTCGACCATGTCAGCCTGCATGTCGATAATTATTATGCGCCCGGTAGTCATGAACCGACACCACTCACCGCGGAGGCGACCATTCAGATAGAAACATACCGCTCTCCTTTGATCCCCGGTCCGTTGGCAACAATTTTGGCCAACCGCCGCGCCCGACGAGCGGTTCTCACCCATGTGTTGGCTCGGACCCTGCTGCAAGCCATCCAACCGGGAGGCCCACTTTATCCGCCGTTCTGCGAGTCCCAACAGATTGACGTTGCTGCGCCCGTGACAGGCCAAGATAATGCCACGTTTGCATGGCGCATGTTGACAGCTCGTCTGCATGCTAAATCATTGGATACCACATCGGGAGTCGTGCAGGGACATATTATCGCCCTTGCAGGGGGGTTCACTCAAGCGTTTGCACCCTTCCACAACCCTCAACTGTCTGAGGCAGATCGCCAGCGTCATCTGAGCAGCGTTGTGAGAGAGTGCGCCGAATTGAGTGTATGGCTGTTTACTCAGCCATGTTCGTTCAACTTTGTCTGGACATCATCTCCGGGTTCTATTGTCATATTCCCAGCGGTGGTCAAGACCAGTGATGAACAGGGGAATCCGCTACCGGTGTCACAGAAGATGGTGGAGGAAACGACAGCCCAGCTATGATGTGCTGCAGTGCACGTAATGTTAGTTGCAACAGTTATCAGTACAATGCTTTCTCCGCCCCCTTCGCCTTCCTCCAACGGAGCAATTCCGACAAGCTCTCTGATCCAACATCCTCCAATGTCTCCTCATCTGAGTGTACTTTTCCCGACGCCTCTCCATTCCCTTTTGACCCCTTCCAGTGTAGAGAATCCAACATTTCTTTCCCGAGACCCCCGGTTCCCGACTTATCATGTTCCAGCCTTTCATGATCTGATCCCACTCGTCCCATTATCTCCACATTCCCCTTTGCCTGTCTCCAACGCAACAAACCCAGCATCTCCGATCCCAGACCTAGTCCCTTCTCTTCCACCACCACCCCATCCTTCCCTCCCTCCTTTACCCCAGCAACATCCGCATCCAACTCCACCAAACCCTCCTCGCCCCCAACCGACTCCCTACCCCTACCCCTACCCCCACCCCAATCCCCCTCCCTTCTCATCAACCCTATTTCCCCCACACAACTGAACCCTCCCCACCACCACCACCAAAAACTCCCAATACGCCAAGACCAACCTCCCCCACAACAGCCTCACCCTGCGCCCCTCCCCCCCAACTACCCACTTGACTCTCGTCCGCAACCCCAAATCCCCCTTTCGTCGAGTCTGCTGTTCCACGCGCGCGGGCTCAATTACCTCTGCTACCGCCTGGAGTGCGGTTTCGAGTTCTGAGATTGTGGTTGAGATGTAGGTTTGCTCCGAGGGAGTAAATTGGGATGAGATGGGGTTATAGAAGCGATGAAATTCGTCGAGTTGGGCACGGATGTGTGATGTTGTTGTGAGAAGGGTGGATAACTGTTCTGTAGCGGGGAGTGGGAGGGGGAGGGAGGGGGTGGGTGTGGGCGTAGACATGGGGGACGTGGTGGTGGTTCGCAAGGACAGGGATGTTGGGGAGGGGTATTGCTGTGCTTTGGAGCTTGTCCCTGATCGAGAAATCAAAGAAGAAAAGCGGGAGATATCCATCTTGAAACTACAAGTTGGACGACCTCAACGGGAATATTTTCCGTACCCCTTTCTCTTTCTCTTTTCCTCCCTCTCCTTTCTTCCTATAAGCACCCGTTACTTATCCCCCCCGTAAGGCAAACCAATAATACCTACCCAATTCTCCACTAATCCGGAATCCGTAGATAAGGGGGTGGCGGAGCCTTACACCAACAACCTACCTGGTTTAATCTCTAAGATGCGTTAGTATGTATGTGTATGTAGGTTGGTTCATGGGTGGTGATTGGAACTGCTTAGCTGATTGGCTGCATGCTTAGCTTGTTCCTTCGTGGCTCCACTATTGGATGTAAGTTGGATGCACGTTGACTGTGCCGCTATTTAGGGCGTCTGAATCGGGGGATGAGAAGGGTTCGGGGAAGTAGTGTTGTCATGACAGAAGGGGAGGTCTACTTGGAGAGTGATGATGACAAGACGTAGAGAACACTTATTGATACCCCCCTAATCAGCCCGAAGCATCTAGTCCTTATCCACCTTTCTGACCCCTGCCATCAGCGTTACATTTCCCACGAGTAGTATCCCTCCCAGCACTCTCAACCATCACCCCACCAATGCACTCGAATCAACAACTCCACCGACGGTAGGCCAGGGGAATTTTCTATCTATTCTATTTTTTGACAATTACAATTAGGATTAGCAAATAACAAGAACAGCATTAGTTATTAGACATACAAGAACTGACTAGCATAGCTATTAATTTTAGTCGACTTAGTAAAACACAAGATACTTCAACGATAGACATCTTCTTCTTTCAAGTGTATACATCCTCGGAGCCATAAACCAAACCACCGTTTCTTATCTAACGCACCAATTCCTAGCATCCAAAGCCCATCAATCTGCGTGTATTGAGCCATTCAAGGAGGAGGCAATAGAAGAGGTCTGATATCCCTCTCGACCCCATGTATTTCTCCTCTAAAGCACGTTAACTAGAGAGAAAGTTAGGTTGCATCCAACTCTGCTGTCCACACTGTATGTTGTAACGAACTACACATCTATTAAGATTACCTAATATACATCCCCCAAGAATGTTACTATAGGATACAGATCAGATACCTCTACACTTCCAAGACTTTTGAATCGTCTCTTCATTCGAACATACTTCCCTCCTAACTATCACAGAATAGTACCCCTCACTACCAGAATCAGCGTACACTCTATCCCGAGTCCCATTCAACCCTAATAACCTTCCCAACATGCCACCTTACAGGGTACATCCCATCCCATCCCACCCTCCCTACCCTACCAAATACTCTATATAAAATAACCACCCATCTCACTAGAACTAATTGAAAAAAACCAATTCAACCCAATCCCCTACACCCCAACCCACCCCATCCCCCCCATCAAAACCCTCTACTCCTAACTAACCCCCACCATGCACAAATCAACCGCGACCACGAAATCTGGCACTCCATCGCCCACACCTACCCCATCGCCGTCCAAGCCTGCATCTTCGAAACCCACATGGGCCCGATCCAATCGGCACCTTCACCATCTCATCCATTCCCTGACCGAGCCTCTCACCAAGCCCGTCGTCGATATCCTAACGAAGCCGTTCTCCGCGGACCCTCTTGTAGCAGGAATCCACGTGTGCGAGCCCCCGCCAATGGAGCTTGACAAGAATTACTACGTGCTTGTTGTTGGTAGTGAAAGTTAAAGTTATGATACCATGCGGATGCTTATGTCGGGTAGTGCGGTGGGGATTCATCGGTTTGGGAATGCGGTTTTAAGGAGGTGGGGGGGGGTTAGTAGGGAGGGGCTTTATTTGGGGAGTGAGGAGGAGGGATACATTCGGGTATGAAGGGGTGGGTTTTGAGGAAGGGGGAGGAGGGGTGGGATCATGTGTGGGGGATATTAAAGGTGGAGGGATATGAGGGGGGATGGTGGGGTTTAGGTTGGTAGATGGTAATGGGGGTGTGAGGTTTGGGGGGAGATTGAGAGTGGGGATGTTCTTGGGGTGAAGATGAGGATTTAGGGGATGGAGGTGGAGATTAAGATGGAGAGGGTTGTTGATGGGAGATCAGGTGAGGATGGGGGGGCTTAGGGGATGTTGATATTATTGTTTATTGTGTGGTTGGCTAGGGGGTTGGGAGTGGGTGTTTGTAACTTGTTCTAGATGTCTATTGTGTCTTTTGTGAATCATGATTACCGGGTTATTAGAAGATATGATTTTGTTGATAAAGTATAGAGAAGTACGTTATGGTAATTAGCTATATCTCTTCACAGAATAAATCCATAATATCTAATCTAAAGAGACTAACTGAGTATAACGTATACCAAGATACAAATACAAAATAACTTAAGCATACAATCTCCAGCTCACCATCTTTATTCAAATCACTCAGGCTCGATAGACCAAGTACAAAATAAAGCAATATAATGCACCCATCTCTAGGGACTTCTTCTCTACCGGACCAATATTGCGTGGCAGGTTAGCACTGCCTCCAAATCATTTCGAAAAACTGCGACGTTCCTTATGATAGACTGATGCTATCCGCGGTTTCTGCTATAAGTAGTGACGGACATGCTACCACTTGATAGCGGCAGTCTCTCTGACGAGATAACCCAACGATAATCCAGGATTCAAACTGCAGTCCTTCCTATTTCCATCCGTGAGTTGGTATATTTATCTGTTTCCTGCATAGCACGCAGGCCTCTAGCCCGACGCTTTTATGCGCGGGATATAATCTCCCGAGCTTGGATCATTCAAACAGTCGCTCCCTGTTCTGTAAATACTTTTTCATTCCATTGACTAGCGTGTTATAGTTATGGAACAATCGACGAGGGAACAAGGAGGACCGATCCCTGTAATAAAAGCACATTATGGAGATGGTGCTATTTATTTCCATTCCAGAAATGTTAGTAAATCAGTATCTGGATTCATTTTGTCTCTGAAAGACCATGATCGGAAGCAAATGATGGTTTTCCCCTTGCTGTTATCGTCAGGTAATTCTTTTGATACGTCATATCTGTCGTTATTTGACTGCAGATTCTGAAGTCCATCGGTATTGCAATCCATAGATATGTTTATTTTCACAGCGCGTCAAGAGATTTCATCGGAAACTTCATTCCTGGGTCTCTGTACCATGTAAGACATTACCAGACCCTCTATATATTTTCTCCTAGAGAGAACATCATCCAGGCTATGATCATGAGGTCGTTTTCTTTTCGATGGAGACATTATGATGCCACGAGATCCGTCGATCTAGTCTCTTCGTGTCTTGCCCCGTAGGAGCAGGCTGCTCACGGCTTGTCGAATAAAATAAAGCATGTAGTGTATAATCTTTTTCGCATCTTTTTCTTCCTGGTCACATTGGAAGGTTCGTGCTGTAGATTATTTCATGTTAGAAATTGATGACTTGAGAGACATATGGTTGATTGATGGTTTCGTGCAACTTGTCGATCCACCGAAGGATCTCAGCGTGATTGAACATTCCCGTCGAGGTCTGGTCATGCCAACAAAAGACATTTCGAGGAGGGTTCGCAGGAGTGTATTTTTGTTGTCTTTAAAACACAGCTGGCACAAAATGGATGCCTTTCCATCGAAAACACACCGAATGGCAAAGAGAAGGACCGCGGCAGGACTATAGTCTTTCAGATCTGACCGCAGGCAATGCATACAGAAGAGGTATGCAGGTTTGATAGGCACCAGCGTGGCCAGTAGGTGGTCTTGCTGGGGATATATTGATATTTGGATGCTATAGATAATGAGGGTTGAGTATTGGAGGAATTAGGCAGTGTGGATGGTATGTAGTTGATCAGTATCGTCAAGATGGGATATTAGGGAAGAAGGAGAGGACGATTACGAAAGGCAGAGAGCGGATTAAATAGGGCAAGCCGGGACTACTGAGTGAAGCTATTCCTGACATGATGAATGGGTTGGTGACTGCCGGTTCTTTTCTCGCTTTATATATTCATCCCATGCTGGGTTGATAATCGAATTATTCACGTAATTTATTGCAGACTATCCTGCATTCATGCCTTGAGATCTTTAAAGTTTGTGTTGATCAGTTGTCTATGTATTCCCAATCACGCTCTGGTGGTGAGAAGTGACCGTGCACCTA